CAAATGATGTCAATGATGATCTATTTGTCCGTGCACGCAACAAGCGACTGCTGTCTTCAATTAATTTGATTCTTTCTCTTTTCTTTAAAAAAAGGGTGAGTCACATCCCTTGTTGGCGTTATAACTTTTAAACTATTACCTTTGTCATGATCTCATATAATTATCTACAAAGGTTTTGCTAAAAAAACGCGTCTGCGTACCCAAAGCCGTATGCTTTAACAAAAAAAAAAGGGAAAGATTTCGAAAGGTCAAAAACTCCGAAGATGGAAGTAACAGCGCGTGCACGCCCAGTTTTGTCTTTTTCCCTTTTCTGTTTTATTTAAAATTAACAAAATAATGAGTACTACTACACAAAACTTACGCCGTTGCACCTGCAGTCGTTGTAAAACGGGTGTTAATGGGTTTAAATTAGTCAACCGAAAGACTCTTGTTAATCATGAAGAAGCCGATGAGAGAGCATCCTTCTTAATGGAACGCATGCAACGTAAGACATGACTAGGATCTACTTAAACACTTACTGATCTTTATTTTTTCACGTTATTAGAAATCAACGAGAGTAATTGCAGCCTTTTTTTTTTATGAATAATGGAGTGATCTTATTTACAAATTATTATTTTTATTAGACGCTGCTACAGAAACAGCTGATGTACCTGAACATGCTGGACACAATGCTGACGAGGAAAGTGACGATGAAGATGTACTCGACGAAATTTTGGATGAGGAAGAGGCGGATGAAGAAGAAGCTCCTGCAGAAGGTAACCTCAGCAATACCAGTAGTAATTTAATAACTAACATTTTATAAAAAGATCCCTTTGCTCGTTTTGGCAACAATGAGTATCTTCCCACCGAGCCTTTGGCATTCGTTTTGTTTTTGACCTTGTTTTTGCTCAACGGTAAGCACTTGACTAAAGAAGCTTGCGAGATCTTGATGATCATGTTCGATATTGCTTTGGAGATCACCCACCACCGCTACCGCTTTCCCGTACGCGCTAAAACTTTTGTAGCCTGGTGTCAGCTCGCATCAAGAGTACATCATGGTATGAAGGAATACGTTAGATGTACCATTTGCCATGCTGTTCACCCATTCGATACTGCCTGTGAGAAAATTGCTTTGCTTGGAAAGACCTGTTCATCAGTAGAGCCTTTTCCTCGATCCACTCGATGCGGTAACGATCTTTTTGTGGCCAATGCAAAAAACGAGTTAAAGCCCAAGAGATCATTCTTCTACAATTCAATTATCACCACTTTGAAGACTTTTTTTTGCGTGAGGATTTTATGGATAATGTCAAGCAATGGCAATCAAGAGAGGTTATTCCTGGTGTCATGTCCGACGTGTATGATGGAAGTATTTGGAGAGAGTTTAAGATGGATCCTGCGGATGAAGTACCTTATGTTCAACAATCCGACTTTAACTTGATGTTGACGATCATTGTGGATTGGTCCCAGCCGTACACAAACAGTGTGTACAGTTGTGGTCGAATTTACCTTACAATTCAAAACTTACCAAGGGAAATTAGAAACTTTAGAAAGAATGTGTTGCTTTGTGTTTTGCTGCCTGGTCCTGGAGAACCAAAGACGTTCCAAATGAATCACTATTTGCGTCATCTTGTGGATGAGGTTCTCTTGTTGGCAGATGGTGTAGAAATGCAGACAAAATATCATGGAATTGTCACCGTCAAAGCGGCCCTTACCATGGTAGTCTGTGACTTGCCTGCTGCAAGAAAGGTGATTGGAATGACATCCCATAACTCGATTAATGCGTGTAATCAATGCACGCATTTATTCAAATTTATTCCTGGACATCCCCACCAAAGAAATTTTGCATCTGCCCCTAGAGATGGTACTTTGGTTATTTGTGATGCGGCTAGCCATCGATTAAACGCTTATATCTGGAAGAACACTGCGACTGCAAGTGGACGTAAAGAATTGGAGCAGAAAAATGGTGTAAAATATAGTGAGCTACTTCGCCTTTCATACTTCGATCCTATTGAATTTGTTGTGTTCGATATCTGCCACAACACGTTCATGGGTACGGCCAAAAGAATGATGCGTGTGATCTGGAAAGAGGAGATCAACATTGTAAATGATAGAACGCAGCCATTGATCAGCAAAGCACATTTGAAAGAAATGTCAAAAGCCTGTTTGGAAAAACTTGTGTTGCCTTTTGGCTATGACCGCCAATCAATTTGTAGAAAGATGAAGATCGGTGAAGTTGGCTTTAGGCATGTAAAAAGCGATGAGTTTAAACCTTGGGGTTTGGCCATGTCTCTTTATTTGCTGTCAATGAGACTACCTAAACAGTACTACGATAATTGGATGGATTTCGTTGCTGCGAATGTGTACCTGTCGAGTCTGGTGATTTCTTTGGATTAGATCGACAAGATGCATGCGCACAAGATGACATTTTTGAATGATTTTGTTGATACTTACAAAGATCCTACCCTGTTCGTTTTAAATATGCATTACCACACTCATTTTAAAACGGTATTGACAAAATGGGGTTCAGGTCCTTCGTGGTGGATTTTTAACTTGGAACGTTATAATTGCGATGTCAAATCATTCAAGATAAACCGAAAAGGGCCAGTCGAGAAAACGTACATGAAGAAGTTTTTACATACCATTCACAGTGAAGATTACTTCAAAGGCTTAAACTCTTCCTTGGTAGTGGGACCAAGACATCAAGTACGGGTTGAAGGATTGTTTGCGGGTGGTAAAATCCATGGGTACGACAACGTAAATGGATGTCTTGAAGGGGAATATCGTAATTCAAAATTACGTTTTTCTCTTTCTTGCTTCCTTGAGCTCAATCACGGCTACAAGATTGCGAATGGGTATGAGGAGCTGCCACCAACCGCTTTGAAAGACATGAAGCTTAAACGACCATTCAATATGGACTCGGTAATGTCTATACATCTTTTGCGTTACTACGTTGATTTGTATCACGTATGATTTGATCCTTTTGCCGCTACCAGCAGGATCACCGCATTCATCACTCTGAATCTTTTTAGTGCTGTGTTCAAGTCGATGGAATCAGCTTCTGCCAATGCACGTGGATCTTACATTCGTGCATTTTATCGCCTGACAGATCACGAGGATATAGTCAGGAAAGAGGAGAGTTGTGGTGAGCTTAGGGTACGCCACTATAAATCTATTTCAGATTCTGGCGTACTCAGACCTGCTCAAGTGGTCATGTTCTTTCGCCATTCCGCAGATGTAATGCAGAGTACTAGGAAAACAGCCAGTGGAACGTACACCTTCGCCTTTGTTAGGTACAGCATAAACGTGAAACCATTTCTTCTTCACGCGTCTAACTTTTTTTTTAAGGTGGTTCAGAGAATCAGCGGTGCAGTTGGGTTCTTATAACCATCACAGCATGCATGTTGTGCCAATGAGTTTGAAGAGATGTCACGCATGTCCATATTGCCTGTTCATTTTATTCATTCACCCACTGTAGTCAGGATTAGTCACATCGACAACATCAATGTAGTAACGAAAATGGATCAGAGGTTATTTTTTTAAATGGTAAAACGTTCTTTTTTTTTTCTCTCAGTATCATCTGGTGTTTTTTTGGTTTTTAGGATCTATTTTTATTCAGATGAAATGGCCCATCTGGGCAGGCGTGCACGCTGTACTGTAGTCAAGGGAGACTCAACTACTCTTGAGGTAAGAGTTAATGAAATACCGCGAGATAGATCGGCAGGGGCATCCAAAAAGACCTACACCTGTACCAACTATTGGAATAAATGCTGTAAGTAAAATAGCGTTGGCTTTGATGTTTAATTTATTAACTTGCCTTCGTAGATCTCCAAGAGGGACAGAGCTTTACCAACGACGTGGCCAATCCGTGCTCATTGAAGGCGTCGTTTTCTTCGTCTGACATATATGCCGCATGCAACACAGCTGGACAATCGCCAGACGAGATATGGAGGTGATCCTCAATCGTATGTTGAAAACGTTCAAAGTTTCTTAAACATCTTCTCGATATCTAAATGGAAGGTACAGTTTAATATTTTGTGTGTTTTTGATTCTTATACTATACTTACATTCGCCATTCTTGACACCATGTTAGAAACAATAGCAGATTGTTGTATTTCTGCTGCTGTTTGAGTCTGGTTGCAACGGACTCGTCTTCTCACATTCTCCTGCTGCGTTCTGATACGCATGATCAGAACAAAGGCTTGATTGTCTCCAAGCTGGTGAGTATCCGGAAGGCCATAGATGCGGATTTCTTCCCGACAAAATTGGTTCAAGATATGATTGTAAATATCGAGATTTGTTCCCATCAACAAAGTTCAATTAACATCCCAAGTAGGAAGAGTTAATTCCCTACATGCACACCTGTAGAAAACTCGAATGAGGGCCTGCAGATGGTAATTTAAAAATGATGTACAGATATTTTTGTAATAGATAGATAGGTATAATTCTTACACTCTGTTGAGGATCCTGTGATGATCCGACTTACTTCTTGATAAGAACCATAAGAAAAATAACATCAGATACACTTACATCATACATCTAACACTAAAATATTAATATCTCAGCATCAATACTTTATAAAGCAAATACACCTCTTTAATCTATGTACCTCTTTGACTAAAATAGTGTAAGAAGAGACTGCACTAATTTAGTACAATTCCATTATGCAATAATTTTATATTTTAAATTCAGACATCTTATTGTCGTGCCAGAATATATGTGACTACTATTACGACCATATATAATATCCTTCAGCCATATTAATAAACTTTAGTCTTTTTATCTCTCTTAAAATATAAGCTAGTCACTTCTAGTTTTACATGGTGAGGCTCCCAAAACCTACTATTTCAACATAAATCAAAATTAAGCGTCGTACTTCGTCCTCAACTTTTGATTCATCTGTTCGTCGTTTCCACAAACGGAGGCGATTCACTTTATTTTCTCCAGTATCTGAACCAAGCTCACCTTGTTCAGAGACTTCAACAACTTCTTACTTCACCGCTCCAGAATCGTTCAACAGCATCATGTCTATAAACAATTCCGACAGCGCAACTACAACTCCAACAACATCATCCGACTTCGCTCGGTACGTCACTCTACAAACTCTTTCAGCAATTTCTTTTCCTCAATATGATTTAAAGCATAGCTTACGCTTTTGGATCAAGGATTTTAAGGAAGAAGTTCAATCAGCGGGGATCACAAATATGGATCATTGCTGTATACACATAGCACGATTCATGCCTACTATAATTCGAACTTTCATTACTTCCATCCCACCTACTATAAAAAATAAGTGGTCTACACTCACAGAGGAACTTCTTTTACATTTCGGAAGGCCCGAAGAGGAAGAAAATCGCGAGTTACTCACTAAGCTCAGAAAGTGTAAACAGCGAAAAGGGGAATCAGTAAAGCTGTATAGTGCTCATTGGAAACATCTGTTAAGTTTGCTGCCAGCGAATCACTTGGAAGAAGGTCAACAAATTCTATTGTTCACGCAAGGAATTCTCAACGATGGATTACGTACATCTCTCATTACGTATTCGGATGTGAAGGAATTGGACACAATCAAGGCAGTCATTCAAAAGGCTATCGATTTAGAAACAAAGGCCCGACTCAATGACCCCAATAACGTTCACCAAACAAAACAAATAACAAATGACACGGCTGAACCAATGGAAGTAGACTTTATTCGTAAGGAACCAACGAAAAACAAGTTTCACAAAACAAAGTTTGCAACCAAGCCATCAACTGGAAAATCAGACGACTCGCGCCGTAGTGGCCATTCTGATAGATCTAAGCAGGTACCTCGGTTATATGACAAACAGGGTAATCCGGTTTGCGGCTACTGTTTTGAAAAGCACCGGAACATAGATTGTTCTAAAAATAAACCAACGCCTCGCAAGGAAGTACAAGCAACAGAAAATGCATCATCTGATCACAACAGTAATGTTTCATTGGTGGATTTGACGACACCCACTGTCATGATTGATTCGATAAAGGCGGCCCATGTGGGTAATATAAACAATAGCACAAACCCGTTGCCAGTCTCTGTGTTTGAGTTAACCCCTGAAGTGTCGGTCAAGGTCATGTGGGATACTGGGTCTATTTTAACTATCTTACATACCAGCGTGGCGAAACGCTGTGGTTTCAAGGTCGATAGGTCAAGAACGGTGAATTACAGCGATGTCAACCAAAATGTAAAAAGTACTCAAGGCATATGCAAGCTTAGGCTGTTCGGTGAGGTGGTAGAATTTCATGTCATTGATGACATATCTCGTCCTGCAATTATCGGTTGGGATAATATGTTAAAGTGGAAGGCTACCATAGATTTAGAAGCAAGAAAAATCTACATCACGGCTAAGGGTAAAAAATTTGGTATAACATTCTTTACTGACGAAAAATCTCCTATTTCCAATGTGAATAATACAGAAGCTGTTCGCCCAGCGATGTCTTCAATATTGTCCAAATTTAACCATGTTATCGCAAAAGATAATAACAAGCCCACGGTCACATCTCTGGTCAAATTCTCTATCGATACAGGTGACCATCCTCCAAGTTATCAACCTCCAAGGCGATACCATCCAGATATACAAGCCCAAGTTGATAGTAAACTGGAACAACTATGTGAAAATGGTATTACTACTAAGGTCACGTTCACCGAATGGGGCTCCCCGGTTACAGTGGTCAATAAACCAGATGGGTCCATACGGCTGTGTGGAAACTACGTGAAGCTAAACTCAATAACAAATACATTTAAATATAACTTTGTTAACTTACATCATGCGCTACAGTCATTAGGATCTGCAAAAATATTCTCAAAGATTGATTTAGCATCTGGGTACTATCAAATACCAATCGAAGAAGCGGATAGGATCAAGACTACTCTAGTCACCACCAATGCAGCGTATCAGTTCAATGTCATGCCATTTGGGTTAAAAAATGCACCCGCTTTCTTTCAAGCCCTTATGGATCGTACTTTGGGTCAACTGCGGTACAAGAGCGCTATCGCGTACCTTGATGATATTATAATCTATTCTCCTACGTGGGAAATTCATCTACAAGACGTGGAAAAGGTGCTGAAACAACTGAAAATAGCTAACTTGTCTATCAATATAAACAAATGTGCATTCGCTCTCACGTCCATTGAATTTTTAGGCTTTATCGTATCATCGGAAGGAGTACAGGCTAATCCGGATAAGATCAAACCCATCCTCTCTATTAAAAGTCCATCAAACTTAAAGGAGCTTGAAAGGTTTCTTGGAATGACAGGAGTGTATCAAAAATTCATAAGCAAGTACCAAGTCATCACTGAACCTCTGCGAAGATTGAAGAAGAAAAATGTCGACTACATCTGGGGACCTGAACAAGAAGCAGCGTTCAAGACACTGATAGGCATGTTATGCGCTTTGCCTAACCTTCGGCAACCGGATTTTTCTAAACAATTCGAATTGCATTGTGATGCGGCAACCACGGCTGGAATTGGCGTGATTCTATGTCAACGCAAGACGGGCAACCGTATCCTTTGGCCTTCGCCTCAAGATCTTTAAACGTACATGAGCAACGGTATTCAGTTCGAGAGATTGAAGCATTAGCTATCGTGTGGGGAATAAAAAAATTTCGTATATACCTCGAAAGAAACTTATTTTTAGTATTTACTGATCATTCTTCGTTGCAGTGGTTACTTAGCTCATCTCAAGACAAACAACCTCGGTTATGGCGCTGGGTTATGTTTCTACAGTCATATATGCTCAAGATCATTTACGTAAAAGGAAAAACCCATTATGCTGCGGATCTCCTTTCCCGCTCTACCACAGGTAGTCAAGTAAATATCATTACCAAGCTATCAAATGAAGAGTGGTCTACAGAACAAGCCAAAGATGAAGAGCTACAAGAAATCAAGGAGGCCATAGACAAGGACAAGGATGGCAAGTTTCGTATCCACAACGGGGTAATATGTAAACTGGTATCAAGACCCAGGGCGTTCATAAACAACCAACTGTTAACCATCGTACCGAGTCATCTCGTGCAAGAAACACTGAAATTGTACCATCAGTCGGAATTCGCTGGACACACTGGAGTCAAGAAAACCAAGGCGCTGATAAGAAATTCTGGGCATTTATGGTGGTCAACAATAGACGCAGATGTGAACAACTATATAAAAAACTGTCAAGAATGTCAAAGGATTAAAGGTAATAAAGCTACAAAACATCCACTATCAAGTACTGCAGCCGATAGGCCATTCTATAAAATAGCTATCGATTACTTCGGCCCATTGCCAAAAACTCAAGACGGTCAGCACCAGTATATTTTGGTAATAATTGATTCTTTCTCACGATATGTGGAAATTTACCCTACAAGAACAACGCAATCCATGGAATTCGCTTCCGTATTTTATAACGAATTCATCTTGAGGCATGGGGCGCCGGTACAAGTCATGTGTGATAATGGTCCTCCGCTGGGTTCTGAGTTTGTCCGCGAATTGGCGAAATTTGTAGACATTGATATTGAGTTTACACCACCAAATCATCCATCGTCGAACGGTCTGGTCGAAAGGTTCATGAAAACGTTAAGGACCATGATTCTCACATATGTCAAGCAGGATACAATTGTCAAGCACTGGGACAGTAAACTAAGAGCAATAAGATTCACATACAACAATCTGTGGCATTCATCTACACGGTTTGCACCATTTGAATTGGTTCACGGGCGTTTAGCACGAACACCGTTGACAACAATGAATAACCAACATCTACCTAAATTGTATCGAAATACACCGACACCACAATCAAACTTCGCAAAAGAATTACAACAAGATTTGGAAATCGCGTTCGAGATTGTGTGGAAGAACAAACAGGAGTATGATAACGAATCCGGCAACAAGTCCCAAGAGTTTCAAGTGGGTGACAAGGTGTTGGTATACAACAATCAACTATCAAAAACCAACCGACCGAGAAAACTGTCACTGGACTGGTATGGTCCAATGGTTATTGCTGAAAGTCTGTCGAAAACAAGGGTCAATCTGCAAGATGAAAACAACAAAAAACTGAACAATGTCCATATCTCAATGATCAAGCCATTCTTCGAGCACTCTGAATAATCACCAATACAAGTCATGCTTTTTCCTACGGGTTTTTTAATGCGACTTGAATCTTATTTTATTTTATTTTTATTCATATATATTTTATCCACTTTATTTTTAATTCACATCGTATTTACTCATATGTTTATCAACGGGGGAATGTCGTGCCAGAATATATGTGACTACTATTACGACCATATATAATATCCTTCAACCATATTAATAAACTTTAGTCTTTTTATCTCTCTTAAAATATAAGCTAGTCACTTCTAGTTTTACATTATATATATATATCCTCGACTCATAAACTAGATAATCTTTAATTCTCTTTTAACTGAAATAAAGGATACCAACAGTCTCAAAGTAATCCCATTTTGTTTTATTTCCTTTTGTCTGAATTTCTACTATCCAAAATACCACAGATCAGTTCCTATTCTTTCACCAACACGTCGATTTCCTCGTTCATATGCATCCATACGACTCTCGAGCACAGCAATGCGTTGTTTATCACCAGTACGTCTTCTAGGAGGGGCAACAAAGGCAGGTGCTGCAGGTTGAGCGGATTGCACCACGGGGGTACCGTTTGCGCTGTAAGTAATGTTATTTGTTGTGTTACTTGTCATATTATTTTGTAAAGAAGGGTAAAGAACAATATTATTACATTTTGGATCTACGCTTATAATTAGACCCTTTTTCGGCCATAATAAACTTGTCACAGTAAAAAAGAAAATTTAATTCTTTCATCTTTCTTTTCTATTATTCCATCTCTTTCTTTCACTTTCTTTTTCTTTTCCTTTTTTTGTAACAAAAAAAAGTTTTTTCTGTAAGTACGATTCTTTTATTTAATAAGAGTTAACATGTCAGCTAACGTTACTCCTATATGGTGTTCAATTAAAAGAGGTAACCATCCCAGGCCTACGTATGACCCTATAGTAAGAACCTAAAAAAATGCCACGCCTCTCATTCGAAACTAATCGTCCTCCTGCCTTTTTTGTTTCTATGACTGGTCTTGTTTCCTCTACATTGGCAGAACGCATTGTCTCCTTTCTCTTGGCCTTAATCCCCTTGGATGGCTCTCTCTTAACAAAATAACAGGCTATCTTTTTACTTGCGCCATTACTCACGTATTCTTTTTTTTTTGAAAAAAAACTGGTAAGATATGAACTCCTTCTTAAAAGTGCCCAAGAATGACAATCTTCTTTCATAGATGCCTACAAGACTCGGGTTACTACTGGCTTTTTGGCACGGCTGGCTTAGGTATGGTTGCTTAATGCACGACGGCAAGAAGAGGTAATGTCAACATGAGAATGGGTAAAACTAATAACCTAATTATGAAGACAGGTTTCAAGATGCCAAGATTTTATCCATATTTATCCTAGCAATACTCTTCCTTTGCGTTTTGAAAATCATATTAATTGTTTGTTATTGGATGTACATATTTTACTGTTGCCATCTTAATTTTTGCCCATTTAATTATCGTAAAACTGGTTCTTTGACTTCTTTTAGATTTTATCCAGGGTAAGAATCACACGATACTGTTCCGCACAGCTTACGTACGGTCCTAAAAACAGCTTTCGGAGCTTTCACCCAACGTCAAGCCCCCTTCTCTATTTGGATTGAATATTAACGTGGCCAAACAATGTATACACGCTGGCTAGGAAGAATAATAAACGTATGCTCGCCTTAGGACTGCCCTTTTTCCAGTCGTCTTGTTGATACTCCGACTAACTGTCTCACTGCTCCAATAACCCTCTGTAGTGAACATAAATTTGAAATGCTGCTTTTACTTGTTTATTGTATTTAACGTGACCCCGATGGTTATAAAACGGTACACTCTTTTACCTCTTGTGGTGATCCACCTAACGTTGTTATTAATCACACCATAAAACAATACTAAATCAAATCTCATTTCATCATCCCATACATTATTACATCACAACAGGAACTAATTTCTTATGCATTATGTCATATCCAACTACAAGCACTATTTTGGGGCTGTGTAACTTATCCATCAAACTAAATCATAATCCGAATTCTCTTAACATATATAAATATGCAAACTGATAGTTGAAATAGAACCCTCTCAATCTTTTAATCTATTTTTACTCTTAAAAAAAATTATAAGCAGTCTCAAAGTACTTTATTGTTTTTCTTAAGTCCAATCAAACCATGCTATATATCCAGTCATTATGGTATTAACCCGTATAAGAGAGCTAAGCTTTTAAAATAACTGCTGAATGTAAACGTGCAGTTACTAAGATAATTACTGCATGAAGACGGTGCAAGTTTTACGGTTATTACGACAATTAACACTGCAGTTAGTGAAGTAATATACGATATAAACTAGTGCTGGTAATATCATAGTAAACTAACCACAACAGGATGACCAGTTATTCGTACAGTTACCGGAATCCGGTAATGATTATCAAATTTAGTGTTTGTAGAGTCACAACCGATCAGAATAGTATGTAGAAAAGTAAGAGTGTTTTTGAAGTTATTTGACGACGGACATTATTCTGTAATAAATCGGTGTTGTAATGTAATAAAACAATAATTAAAAACAAAAAGTTGAAGCGATTACATGAGTTCGTTTATAGTTCCTAGTGTTCGGAATGAAGATCGAAAGTCTTGAGCGAGCTTCGATCGTGTTCCAGTCGAAGCTCGCTCGAATGCGTTTTTTTGCAGCTCGAGCTCGCTCGAAGTCTCTTAAGCTCGGCTCGGTTGCGAATGCGATAGCTCGAAATCGCTCGCCCTTTTTATTACATAAAGTGCACGTCAAAGTGAAGTTAATTACAGAAAGTTATGATAATAAAATTGTTATTTATTGAATAGAAGTTGGAAAAACAAAAAAAAAACTTTTTTTCACCAGCCTTAAAACCAAATTCGGATACTTAAATCATACATATAATACAGTTGGATTTGTAAACATGAAAGTTTAAATTAATTCTGCTACGTCATGTTATTATGATTGCTGTAAAAATTTGGCTTAGTTGGGTTAAGTGTGCAACACTGTATCATTTTCTATGGTAAATGTGTTTGTTGGTTGTACAATTAAATAAAAGTCCAAAGCATTTTTGTTCGAATTATTAGCGCATAAATAAAAAAAAATGGTAAAGGGAAGAAAAGATCAAAATCAAGGGGAAATGCCATCTGTAGTCTTTAAAGGATCTTAACTTTGAAGTAACTACTATCGACATTTTAGCCGAGCGAGCATCGATCGAAGCTCGCTCGAACCCAAAAAAATTGGCGCAAGCTCGAGTACAAAAACTAGGTTCGAGCTTCGTTCGAACTGGCGTAAGATCGGTGCAAGCTCGAAAAGTTCGAAAACTAATAGTTCCCTTTATAAACGTATTGACCCATATTTTAAGATAATAATTTAGGGTCTACTTATACTAAATGAAAGCCGCAATCTAATTTCATATTTGGCTCCGAATAAACAATTAATGTTTGCGTTGTTATGTCGTAATTGGCATACGTGGATCCTGTCAGTGTAACCGGATCTTGTTACCTTGTTTTACAGTAGATTTGTGATATAGACTAGTTCTATTTAAATCAATTACATCTACTTCAATGGCTAACAACGTCACTGTTTTGGATTGTGGCAGACATGGCATAGAACCTCTGTAGTAAGCCAGCAAGTCGCAGATATTAGGGATATTGGGGTGTGTAGAGGGGTTTGCGATCATGATCCTCTCACATCCCTAATATACACGATTGTCGTAAGTGGTGTCACTGGCGAAATAACAAAAGTTCTATTTTTCTATTATTAAATAAATTATCTCTTTATTATTAATCATACTCGAGAGTACCCTATACATTTAAATCACTTTGTATTGGCTGCGTAAATCTGAAGTTAGTTATATATAATTCGACAGTCAGTCACAAGGTAGATAAAACCCCCTTTGAACAGGATGCTTTAAAGGAGTGGTGTCACAAAAAATGAAGAAGTGACTGTTTAACGTACTGTAACGTAAATTTGCTTATACAAAATTGGCAGGTTAACAAGACAATACTTTTGATCTTCTCTTAATAAATGACGCCTTCCGTTTTCCGGTCATCTTGACACCTTCCATTATTTTTCTGTACTTGCTAAGAGCTAAATAGTGGCTGATTTCAGATACCTTATACCTTCATGAGTATTTGATTTAAATGGCAGTAGCAGCTTTTTGACGTTGAAAACAAAATGTCGATTGTCGAAATTAGTAAAGGATTTACTGAAAAGTCGTCCCATTGATCAAAACAACATTGTTACAGGGCAATAATTTTCAGACTTAAATTTTTTCTGTACATGAAACTTGGAGTGATAGGGACAGTGCAAAGGGCAATTTTGTCTGTTTACATTCAGTTTTAAACATAATCTGATCCAGTCAGGAGAATTAAGGGATCCGTAAAACATAATCCTGTCCATTTTCATTCCATTTTGAAATGAAAAGTTTCAGTCGGAAGAATCAAGAAAGGAACCATTAATGTTGAATTTAAAGAATGTATAGATCAATAATCAGGATGGTTAATACTGATGACCGTACATTTTAAGTAATACAAGTTTTTCTTTGGCTACCGTGACCTCTTTTTGAAAATGAGTATTAAAATTAGTTTATGGGCAAAAAAAAAATGAGACGTCATTATTTTTCGCGGCGCAGTAAAAATGTTTTATTTTTCTAAAAAAAAATTGTGGTAATTCGTTCTTTTCTTCTTCTCTGGACCATTCTGAAAAAAACCATGAACGCGTTCGTTTTTTTTGAAAAGTAAGTACATTAAAATCAGAGATCACACAAACTTCAAACAAGACTCTAATGTTGTCATTCAATAGCTTAATGTGTCAATTAACACTTCTGGTGTTCTTTCTGTCTGTTTTTTCTCGCTTCTTGGGAAATCTTCTCCTTGTTTTCCTTCGGGAAAGTGTAACTGCTCTCGTGTCTCCTGTGTGGCTCTTGGTCTTTGCTGGTCGGTCACGACGCAAAAATCCACCGGTGCCAATTGGCGAGATCTTTGTGCTTGGTGAGCATGGGATTCAACCCATCACTGCCATGAACAAAGCATCTGTTGCTTCTTTGTCTTCCACTCCCCCTCCTGTCCACGTGGCTCCTCCGGCCTCTTCAATTCCCGCCGTCGTCAGTGGTCGACATTCCTTCGTGGCTTCTCCTCCTCCACCCCAAATCACCCAACAACCACGACGTTGTTACAGCTTGGATTGTGCTTGCTTGGCAGGACTTCCTTGTTTGAGTGGAGGTTTGGTTCCGGCGAGACGTCCTCTCCCGCGCCAGAATCAGTTTGCCCCTTCTTTGTCCTTGGTTTGTGCCGTGTGGCAGAATGAAGTAGCCTTGGGACCTGGTCCTAATTCGTTTGTTGGTGGTTCAGACCCTCGTTGTGAGGCCGGTGCTTCTTTGTGCCGTCGTGAGGTTTTCGTGGCTTCTGCCTCTTCTTTGGTGTCTCCTCTTGGTGACTGCCCTTCTCTTGCGGTTTCTTCCCCTTCGGGGGATAACGCATCTACAACGGTTTCTTTCCCTTCGGGGGATAACGTTGTAAAAGCGGTTTCTTTCCCTTCGGGGGATAACGCTTCCTTTGCCGTTTCTTCACCTTGTGGAGATAACGCGCCCATCGCGGTTTCTTTCCCTTCGGGGGATAACGCGATCCCGGGAGAGCCTTCCTTGATGGAGGGTATCGCTTCTTTTTTGGTGACATCTTCCTTGGAGGATGACATCGATCCGGCGTTTTCTGTCCGTCTTGGGGATGACGTTTTTCCTTCCGTCGTTGGTGGTTCGTCGGTTGGTCTTCGTTGTTTGGAAGTACCTCCTCCTTCTCCTTGTTCGGTCGTAGGTCAGGAATGGCCAGATGCAGTTTCTGTCTCGCCCTCTGTGGTCAGTCCTTTCCCTTCTTCGGCCTCTCCCGATGTGGCATCTGCTTGTTTCCCTCCAGTCTCGTCTGGTGGATCGGCTTTGGAGGATTTGCACTCTCTCCCGGCTTCCTCGGTGAGCTTATCATCGCCCGCTTTTTTCCCTCGCCCTTCTTTCCGTCTTTCTTCTGACGGCGCGAATTCCGAGGAGTTGCGCTCTCCTTCTCTCTCTCCTCTCCTTAGAAAAGGTAATCTCGCCTCGCCTGTTTTTCGGCCCCCTCCGACCTTTAGGGAATTAGTCGATGCCGCTTCCCTGCCAGTAGGAATGACTTTGCTTCCAAAGACTCCAGACTGGTCACCTGTCGCTTCATCGTCTGCTACTGTGGATTCGCAAGTAGGAGAAAAAAGAAGATCTCGTTCTCCTTCTCCCCCTTTTTCACCTCGTCGTCGGGTCACCCCTCTTCCTGCTGAGGACACGTTTGCGTTGCCTCCTCCTGCTCTTACTTCTTCTGTCGCTCCGGTTGTGGCGTCTTCGTCTTCTGGGGTTTCTTTGGCTTTTTCTGCTGCGTCGGTGGCCACAGTTGCTGTTACCCCTTCGTCTGTGTTTGCTGCTGCTGCTGCCTCTGCGGCAATCGCCACGTCTTCCCCTTCTCCCGTGGTTTCCGGTGCTCCTGCTGCCTCTGCAGCCAGTGTTGCTTCCTCCACTTCGGCAGTGCCTTTTTCTTCTTCTGTCCCTTGGGTTGAGCCTGTGTTTCCTTGGTGGGATTTGGACTTTGAGAAATTTAGGGACCCATTTGGCAAGATAGGTACGTATCTTTATCTTACGAAATACTTTTAAACTATGTTACTAATTAACCTTTATAATGTTTTTAGAACCGAAAGAACGAAGAAAATCTTTCTTCACTCGTCCTCCTGGTCCTTCCAGGTTGTAATAAAGCTTTTTTTTAACCATGGCGTCTATTATTACGTACGACTACGGAGGTTAATTTTAATTGGGTAACGGGTGCATTCGGGACAGAGACTATGTGGTTTATGGCTTTAAAGTTGGAGATGGTCTGTAAAGACGTTTAATTGAAGCTAGAAAAGAATATTTTGAAATCGAACGGTCCCAGACCATTGATTTATTGCTACTAAAAACACCTAGTTCCATAAAACATATCACAACATAGCGATTAAAGTGTGTTAGGGATTTCGGTTATTTAGTAACCTTTCTAAACTAATTACATGCAATGACCGACGAGATAGACTAAATGTAAAAAGTTCTTGGCCAACATTACTATAGTTTGAACGGACCTGCCAACGTTTTAAGCTGCACATATATAATATGGTTCACTCGTAGTTTAGTACCGAAACTGGATAAAAACCGCATCCTGTTTTTGCCAATATGACCGTGTATCTAGTTAAATAGACCTTTTTTTAGGAAGGTTAATTCGTATATTTATGGACTACAATTTGGTTCGAGCAATAGTTAATTTTATTTTTGCTTTAAAAACGTATGCACTTGGATCTGAATGATAATTAATCTACCATTAAGCTATTAATGTTTAGTTTACATGCAGTTAAATTCGTCATTTGCTTTGTTAATTCAGTGCTTAATAGTGATATTAGACGTGTGTTACTTTGGTGTATGATTACGTTGTGTACATAGTGTTTGATCAAGAAGTTTTGCGCGACAGGGTCTACTTTTTGATCTTTTTGAAATGAAAATGCAGTGTTCATTTCAGGTTACAGTGCATCTTCTGAGCAGTTCCTAACGTGTTCTGTAATATTTGAGCATTCATTTCCGACTAGTACAAGTAATATAAAAAGCAAATTTATTTGTAGCCAGATGTTTTCTTACATGTATTATTCCATCCGTTGTTTGCTTTGCCATTTTAAAATGTCTTTTTGTTCATTCTGTTGCATATTTTTACCACTTTAAAATGTCGTTTTAATCATTCCGTTGCACGTTTATTACTTTAAAGCATCACATAATCGAAAAAAAGTTTACGTATATATATATATGCAAATCTGTGAAACAATGGGGGTATAGAAAACGATTTTATTGGTATCTTATTTTGTATTTTCAATTCGAAGCAACTGAACGTGCATCCATATCATCACCAGAAAAAAAATTAAACGGAAATATCAATTAACTTACTATCAACAAGATATAACGACAAAAAAAGTCTTTCAATAAACCTCATAAAGAGCCAAGGGATCATAAGGTATAGCAGCATATAAGACTAAGAAAAAAGTTGGACTTCCCTGAGAAATACAGCCTAAAATAAAAAAATGTAGCCTAAAATAAAAATAAATCGTCCTAAAATTAGAAAATACAGACTAAGGGCCCTCACAAGCAACAAAATTATTTTTTTAAAGATCCCGATTAAGGACTTTATTATTATTATTTTTTTTTTGTGAAAGGTTACTTCAGACTTCCAAAAGAAAGCTTTTTCCAAAATCCATGACGTTGCTTTTCAATGACCCTTTTTGAACGATTAAAATATAAAGTTCACTCAAAATGCTAACCTATCTGTTATTATTTTTCAAGGACTCTATTGTTTCGATATACTTTTTATTTCTAGAGAAAACAAAATGAACCTATCTCAAATTGTTACAGTAGTTGCTTAATCGTCATAAATGTTATTTGGACTTGATGATGATATGAATATTATTATGGAATCAGACATTTCTACACTTTACCGACAACAAAGTCTCCACTACAGTTTTATTGCATTCTCGATGTTGCGTGTTACATCAGATCGTGAAACTCCCAGTGTTGAAGAGGTGCACTACCAGTAGAATTAGCAGCGTCTCGTCTGGTTCTGAACGTATCACATAGGCTAATCCACTTGTTATTCGTCGCTGCAAAGTCCTTTCTACCGTTGATAGCGTCACTGGCATTAAAATCATCTTCCGTTGCCTTGTTCAAGTTCAGCTTTGCTTGAGGTGAGCGAATAACACCCACGTTTACAACGTAATCGGAAAACAACTCGATCAAAACGTTGGTGCTTGCTGAATCCCATATGAAGAAGTTAATGGTAGTGTACTTTTGAAAAGGCATTTTGTTAAATAAAATTGGATAGTTAAAAATTGGTAAAGCAAAATGAAGAGGATTACAAACACAACTCTTTTATCAAAAAAACAAAAACAAAAACATTGGTGAGTTCAGTAGCCCAATTTGGCTGATTTTTTATCTGATAGAAGGATTCTTGGGTCGTTGGATTTTAATCCTTTATTCGGATATTTCAAAAATTTTGGCACCGGAGAAAATTCGATGTTATTGTTGATCGCCTGTATATATCCATTTATTTTTTTATTCATCTATTTGGCAAAATTGTAACCTTTCACAAAAATAAAATAATAAAAAAAAAAATAATAAAGTCCTTAATCAGGATCTTTAAAAAAATATTTTGATGCTTGTGAGGGCCCTAAGGCCCCTCTGGAGCACACAAAAAAAAAATTTTAATCGTCCAGATTTGGGATATTTTTTTTTCTTCTCCGTTTCCTTTTTTTTTTGGTTAAAGGTTACTTGAGATTTCCAAAAGATGTTTTTTTCAGATACCGTAGATATGTAAAAAAAGGAGAAAAAAAATAAAAATTGTAAGTTCATGGTGGTACAATTTCACGTCCGGATGTTCAAAAAAATGAACCGGTGGTACACTTTTACCAGAACGTGCGCCGCTGTGTATGTTTTAATTAGAAAAACGGTAATGCAACGTGCAAAAATGTTGATTCGTGATTTGCTTTCATCTATTTTGCAAGAGGAAGGGAATACAATTGTTCATTTAAGCATCAATGCAAAATCTCGCGTGAAGACACTTTTATTGACATACTTTATAATGGAAATCAAGCGAATGTAATGGACTATTTTTAAAAACATTCAACATGTAAAAGATATACTTTGTCTAACAAAAACTATTTTTTTTTTTGTTTTTTGATTATGCGCTGAATATAATTTTTTCTTCCAACTTTTACACAAAAATTGACATACACCTTTTGTAAAAATAAAAGGCACAAACTCCGAAAATATTGGCACACTTTTTTTTCGATTTGGCACAATTGAGAATTATGTATGGCACACTAATCCAAATTAAGTTGGCACATATCAAATTTAATAATGGCACACTTTTGAAATTTTTATAGCACACTTTTCTTTTAATTCAATAACTAAAAAGCATGTTTCTCAAAGTCTATTTCGATGATGGTAGCGGAAATGCCATGGATGAAGATGGCTTAGAACCTGTGCAAATGGAAGTGGATGAGGAAGCGTATCCTCTAGATAATATAACCACTTATGATTCACATCTAGATCTAAAACCACCTGAAAAAAAATACAAGCAAAAGTTAACAAACTCAACAAAGCTCCCAGTAATCCTAACGGTTCAAACAACAATAAAATACATTGCGGAGATGATGTAAACGATATGTTTTTTTACTACCTCTATGAAAGGGGACTGACTGCTGGAAAAGCAGCAAGTGTTATAAATATCCCTCGTAGAACGGGTTACAATTGGCCTAAAGACGATCAGGATATTGTCGTGGGTAGACTCGAGGGGAAAAACGATTATAGCAGTGATGAAAAATTGACTGAGAGAAGAGGTAGAAAGGCAATATTAAACGAAGATCATAAAAAGCACCTCGAGGAAACGTTTGGTGAGAACTCTTCAGCAACGGTCGATCAAGCTATAGATAGTCTGACTAGTCAATTTGAGGGTCTGAAAGTTGGTAAAAAGACCGTTCATAACTTCATGGATAACGAGTGCGCGTTGTCCTCTAAAAAAGCATATGTTTACCCTACTGAGAGAAATTCAAACCAGAAAATTCAGCAAAGATTCGAGTGGGTAACGAACTGGTCAAAAACAGATTTGGACTACCAGAGCAATTGCATTTTCATTGATGAGGCGGCTTTTCAAGGCAATCTTAAGACGACGATGGCTTGGTCAAAAAAAGGGGAGAGAGCCATAGTTGAGACGCCTGTAACGAGGGCACAAACGACAACCATTTTGGGTGTCATATCACCCCTCGGTGTATTCAATGTGAAAGTAAGAAGACCGTACCAGTCTGCCTCAAAAAAGAAAGTTACAGGGAGCATCATCTAAGGCTTCCGGGTTTTCTGCAATCAAGACAGTAGGCACCGTTACTGGTCAGTATTTTAATTTCATCGCCAGTACCCTTGATGTGTTAGATAAACACGAGCAGTTAAAAGGCTTCTACATTGCCATGGACAATGTTCCCATCCATAAAAATCTTGATATTCAACGATACATTATAATCGGGCG